CGAAGAAATCTGTCACGGCTTATAAAACATGGGACACAATTATCAAATGTGACATATTTGGCTTTCCTTCTCCTGAAATCATATGGACAAGATCCCTCAAGCAACTTCCCGTCAACAGGCATGTTATTGACGACAACCGGCTAATAATTAAGAACACAACAGAAAACGATGACGGTGCTTATGTGTGTCAAGGAACCAATAAGTTGGGGAATGTCATAGCTGTTACATGGGTCTTTGTTAAAGATGTAGGTAAGTTGGCAAACGTCACTGACGAGCATGACAGAAATGAATAAAGGCTGATAGTTTCGAAAGAAACTGTTTGGGGCTGCGTCGGTGGGAGTAACGAAATAATTTGGATATATCAACAAAGTTGAAATGGTAAATTGGCCACCGTAACGATTACAAAAGCTGACGTTTCGAGCGTTAGCCCTTCGTCGGAGCGAATAGAGGAATTGTGGGTTGTGTGTGCTTTTAAAGGCAGAAAATGGAGCTACGTTATTGGTGGGAACATGGCAACGAGAAAAACACGAATAAATTAGTGGAATGACAGACATAGATTATGGCTGATGTTTGTAGTTTGCAATAGAGATGCCTTTTTGCTCCTTCTCTATTGGGTGGAGTGCAGATTCATGACCTGAATGGCAGCTAATTGTCAAGGCAAACTGACATTTTTTTTACAAAAGTTTGAAGAAATAGCACTCTTTTTTTCCAAAAAAGTGATTAAACAAGCCTGGAATCCTTGCACAAACCTGCACATGAGCCTTTACAGAAACTTTGTGAGAGCAAAGAACAAAATGTGCCCACTTCACTTGCATTTTTTTTTTTTTTTTGTACAATACTGCCCAGTCAATTTTGTTACATATGCAAGAAAAACGTTTTAACAAAAACAAACTTATTTTTTTTGCATACTGAACATGTTCCTTGTGATTTTATTTTTAAAATTTAAAAATGGGTTTCTTCTGCTTTAGGAAACTCTCATCTTGTATATGCAATCATAAGGAAGAGAAATATCTTTCACCAGGTAAGTTTCTAATGAGTTATTATGTTGAAGTTGAAGTTGTCATACTTCTGTCAAAAATTAATATTTGTTTACAACCTTACCATGCTTTTGTATAGTAAGGTTTTTAGTTGCCATCATAAACATAATGATGGTGTATTGATTCATTTTATTGGGAAATATCTGATGGCAGATGTTAACAAAATAAGTATTTAATTAAACTTGAGACAATAAGAAACTGGTATTGTTTTATTTTTTACAGCATTTACCGGTAGCTAAAATTGTCTTTTATTGCAAGAATCTCTGTGAGAAAAGGCACTAAGTCTATGCTGTTTGAGTTTATCTTTTGACACAGTACGTTTTCTCTTTCTAAGTTGGCAAACCTTCCAACTGATCCTGCTACTGTTCAGAAGCCAAGAAGGAGACTTGCCTCCCAAGGTTCAGATAAGTAAGATTCTCTGGACAATTTTTTTCATTTGTGGTACTGTTCATGGCTTGTGCAACAATTAATTTGCTTACTGATGTATAATATTTGAACAGTAGTAATCCTTTGACTCGCATGAGTGATCAAGACAGAATTTCTCCTCACAATATCTATGCGATATCAAGCAGACAAGTGATGGGTGATGAGAATACAGAGAAATATCAGTTAGGGGATTATTAATAGGATTTTTCTGAAGTACTTTTGACCTCTTTTTTAAAACGGGGCCTGGTGCTCAACCATTCTTGTGAAAATGAGTTTAATTTGCATGTGAATGAAAACTTGTAATCATATGAAAGGATGAGCACCAGGACTCGTTTTGAAAATGAGGCCAAGGGTAATTCAGAAATGGGCTATTGATCCCATACCAAATTCCCCAAACTAACCATTGTGCAACAGTCAGTATGGAGAATTACTGGTGAAATTTGAGAGGAAAGGGTTAACCCATTTTCTCAAGTAGTGCATGAATATTAATGCTGCAGTTGATCACAAAATTGTTTAATTTTCTATCAGGGATGCGCAGGCCTCAGGCAGTGAAGGAGAAGAAAAGAGGCCTGGAACGAGTACTTCGGCAGCCGAGAGTTTGCCAGAGATGTCTGCCGATAGTAAGCAAATATATTTTGTAATATTTTTTGTATTAAAAAAAAGAAAATGACTGTCAAGATGAGGAAGCAACCATAGAAGAGGAAGGAATGAAAATAATGAAGGAATAGAGAAGGACGGCACAGATTGCAAACAACGTAGGCCCTCAATAAAGTGCACTTGATTTATCTATATATAGTTTTGTGTGAGATGTAGCCGACACGATTATTTAGCAGCGCCATAAATTGGACAAGCTAACAACAGCTGTTTCTTTTTTCCTAGTGTCTGTGAAAGAAGTTCGCAATCCTGCCAGTGAATCAGAAACCAGTGATGTAGAAGCACGGTCCCCTGGGGAAGCAACCCCACCCAGTACCCCTGGTACATCCCGCATAGAGAGAAAAGCTATTGGACGATCTGCTTCCGTCACAAGCTCAGGATCATTTGTAGCAACGCCTGAATGGGTGAGTTAATCTTCCACTGGTTCTTGCAAAATCCTTTAAATGTCTGTTTGTAGAAGGTGATGTTGCATCATTCCCAGAAAGGCCCATTATGTCTGCTCTGGAAGCAAATCGTAAAGCAGGATTCGCTTCATTTTGTCCACTTATGGAGCCCGTCATATTAAAGATGCCACTAACCCACACCTTTTTAAGTCGCGAGTGCCCTTCTTTCGTCTTGAAATAAAATATCTATCGTGTGTTGATTTAGTTCCGGGTTTCCTTCATTCTGTAGGTCCAGTCTTGGAAACAGAAGCTACCACTTCAGACAATAATGAGAATGCTTCAAGTTCTGGTACCTCAAGTGGAAAAGATTTGCATAGACAAGTAAGTTAGTTACAAGTGATTAATGTTAAGATTGTTATTTATAGTTTATTAACTTTGTTTTGTTTTGTTCTTGTTTTTGTTTTTGTTCGGCCCTGTTTGATGTAGTTTTGTTTGTTTTGATAGAGGTTTGACGGATGAATCTGAGATTATCAAGTTTCTTCAGCATGGCACATTAGTCGGTCTCCTACCCGTGCCACACCCAATCTTAATCAGAAAATACCAGGTATATATACTCCTATAATCACTGATACATGTGCATCACGCGTTTTGTGACATTTGGTGCGAACTTTTCAGTAGTGTAATAATAAGAGTGAATAGCAACTAATTTCTCCTTACAATTTTTCCACCAAATCAAACCAAGAAGGCTCTTGATTGTTGAACAATTTCTCCTTGTCAACACCTTAGGAAATGTATAGAGAACAGTATGGAGAATATGCATACTGACGTTAAGGTGTAATAGTTTAAATGAGGATGAGTACTCAGCCACAGAGGTGTTGAAACGTTAGGGAAAGTTAAGAATTTTTCTCTTAAAAGACGTTTTGACTCGGAAGTATGGAAGTTCTCTTTTCCCCAGCAGCAAAAAGCGCGTCATTTCAGGGTGAGATCCTTCCTTGTAAGGTAGCTGAATCTCATATAAATCCCACCCGGCCAACAGGCGGTGTTAGTTCTTCAGAGTAATTTAGTAACATGAACTAAGTTGAAATTGTAAATTGGCCACCGTAAAGAGTTTCAAAGCTGACATTTCGAGCGTTAGCCCTTCGTCATTCGCTCTGACGAAGGGCTAACGCTCAAAACGTCAGCTTTTTAGCTCTTTACGGTGGCCAATTTACAATTTCAACTTAGTTGATATTTCCAAATTACCTTGTTACCCCCACCAACGCAGCACCACCGTTTCTTTAGAAACTTACCCCCTCTATTCATTAGTTCTTCAGAGATAGTATCTGTGGGTTTATCTGCCAGGCACAATTTGACGACACTCTTTAATGTTCATCATTCTGTTATAGGCTAACAGTGGTACTCAGATGTGGTTCCGAACTTATATGTGGGGAATTATTTACCTCAGGTAAAAACGATAAGTAATATGCTCTCTCTCAGGAAAATTTAGAGGTATAGAACCAAGTGCTTACATAAATTGCAAATTTTACCCTTGATTCGCTTACTTTCCTTCAATCCCTACTTAAATCCAACAGGATGCACTATTGACTTATAATGGAAAAGAATTTTCATCATTGAACGTAGGACTGAGTTGTTCATTCTTTTTGTTTTCCGTTCGCGTTAAGTGACTTTAAAATATTTCTTCTATTGCAGCCGCGATCCGTATTCTGTACATCCTGTAAGGGGAAAAGAAAAGCAGCAACCGATAAATTACTTCTAATTCAAAAATGAGTTTTGGCGGGAAAGTTGACGCGCGCTCGGAAACTTCTGGCGGGAAAATCGAGGCGTACGCACTTCTGTTTTGAAAACAAAATAAACAGTCATGAAAAATTAAAACAAAAAAAGGGAAGTTCAACAGTCATGTCACTCTCACTTTGTTTTTCAGGAACATTGATCCCCCAATCTGGTATGATACGGATGTCAAACTGTTTGAAATCCAAAGAGTATAACATTTTGGTGCGTCTGAGAAGGGTGCGGAGAAGAAAGCGTTAGACTTCTCACAGATGACATGAAGCAAACGATGAATCAGTTGCGTTTAGAATTATGGTTTTGTCATTTTTCATCAAAAAAGAAGTAATATTTGAAGTCGCAAGCTGTCAAACATAACTTTATTCTATGCCCCATTCACACCAAAGCTTGAACACGTTTTAAAAGATGTTTTGCTGGTGTGAATCGGGTATTAGTTACATTAAAGGACATTTTTGTTCGTGTTTGACTTCCCACTCAAGGGGAAACTTGGACTTGTTGAGTCCATAGAGATACTTAAAGTACCTAATATTTACATTCTTAAAATGAGGAAATAATGTTGATGAGATAATTTGCAGATATGCCGATGTAAATTTTTCGTAGTCAGATTTAAGGTACTACTTCGTGCAAGAGAGAATGCCGTGTTAAGGCAGAGCCTATTCTAGGATCAAACAAGCAATTATTATGCGTAAGTCACCGATGTGTGAACGGCGATCTTTATTTACAGAGTCAATGCCCAGCATCAGATCCTTGTGCAGTTTCCCTCTCGTACTTGACCCGGTTTTTCAAAGGTATATGTCAACAAAAGGCACTTTGCTATCCACCGCATAGAGATTTATCCACTAGATAGCATTACCCATCCTTCGAACAACCGGAGCCAGTAATATTGAACGTGTGCCGAGCGCTTTAAATTTCCGCGAATTACGCGCGTGCATCACGCCGTTCACACACACAAACGTGCAAACATGCGTGGAGCAAAATACGCGCAAAAGCCCAGGGAATGCTAAATGCTTTGAAATCTTTACTGCTGAGTCATTTCATTGAAGGGAACATTTGTAAATATATGGAGTAAAGCTCCAAACCATAGGTCCCTCTGCATTAACATGGAAATAAGGTCTGTAGGAATAGGAAAAAAAATTTGCACTTTTTAAACCAGTTCACAACTTGAGTGTGTAGTCACCCTACAACCCCCCCTCCCCCCTCCCCCAAAGGTGGTCACGCCCTTTAAGTTTGATCGGTTTGCTTCTCTTTGAAACCCTTTCGTTTCCAACATGATTGTCCTTGATGGCCGCCATACATTTCCGTTTCCAAGATTTTTTTTCTTACATTTCCATTAAGACTGTGTCTACTCGATGAAAAATTTCCTTCTCGTCTCGTCTGCTTGACACATCAATTATTTTCGCGTTCAAGGGGTCCGTAAGATATATATAATAATCTGTACATAATGGATTTTAAATCATGGGTTTTCGTGTAAGGAATCGCTGTCAGAGTAGTCGAAATCTGCAGCAGGTTATCTGTAGGTTGAATTTGTTAGCCCATAAGTTATTTAAGAGGAGAAAAGATCACACACTTAAAAAATTGAAATTGTATCAAATTATGTTCAGAATCACATCTTGAGCATTTCCTGGTTCTTTCAATCTGTTAGAGTACATACTAGTAGCAGAGAGAACGTAATTCAATAAATACGAGGAAATGTCTTTGTTGTGGGTCTCTTAGTTTTGTGTTTCAACTAATTGCGTTCAACGAAATCCCTTTGCGTCCATTCGTTCACACACAGTCCATTCGAACCACTTTTCTGTCAGCATTTATTCCTGTGCAGTTCTTAATCGCTCTCTTGTCCCATCAGCCTTCTTTGAAATAGAATTTTTCGACGATTGAGCAGTCTATTTCAGGTTGCATTTTTTAAAATCTCATTTTACAATATTTGCACTTACAATGAATATATGAAGTTCATATGCGGATGCACGATCCTCGCAGTAAAGAGCGCTACTACTGCGAGGATCGTGCATCACACGTATCTAATACCGCAGTTCAAAATATATGAACTTCATATATTCATTGTATCTGAT